CGGGGTGAGTGTCCAAGTCCGGTGCCCGACTTTGGGGGTCCGGGACTGGTCACCGGGGGAGATCCCCGGACAGGGGGTCCGGGTACCGGGGGTGCCCCAGGGGTTTTGGGACCCGGGTTTGGGAGTCCGGGACTGGTCAGTGGGGGAGATCCCCGGACAGGGGGGTCTGGGACCGCCCACCGGGGGTGCCCAGGGGGATCTGGGACCAGATTTGGGGCTCCGGGACTGGTCAGTGGGAGTACCCAGGAGGGTCCGGACACTCGGAGTGAGTGTCCAGGTCCGGTGCCCAAGTTTGGGGGTCCGGGACTGACCACCGGGGGTACCCAGGAGGGTCCGGACACTCGGGGTGAGCGTCCAGGTCCCCGATGCCCGACTTTAGGGGTCGAGGCCAGAGGGGGGTTCCCCTGAGCTTTGCCACCTTCCCCTCCCGGATCCCGGCCCCCCCCCCCCCGGGACTGGCGTTCCCGGGGCGGTGCCCCCGCTTTGGGCGGGACCTCGGGGCTGAGTCAGCGGGCAGCGAAGCGGCTCCTCTTGCATCAGAAAACACCCGAGAGAGAGAAAAGCCGCCGGTCCCGCAAAAACCCCCCCCCCCCCCCCCCCCCCCCCCCCCCTCCCCCCCCCCCCCCCCCCCCCCCCCCCCCCAAACTCGCAGCTCCATGGAGGAAACGCGGGACGACCCCCACCCCTCCCGGGGCCCCTCGGGGTTTTCCTCGGCGGGCTCGCTGAAGGAGGAGCTGCTGTGCCCCATCTGCTACGAGCCCTTCCGCGAGGCCGTGACCCTCGGCTGCGGCCACAACTTCTGCCGGGGCTGCGTCCGGCGCTCGTGGGAGCGGCGGCTCCGCTCCTGCCCCGTCTGCAAGGAAACCTCGGCCCGCGACGAGCTGCGGGTCAACCACACCCTCAGCAACCTGGTGGAGATGATCCTCAAGGAGGAGGAGGAGGAGGAGGAGGAAGAAGAGGGCGGGAGGAGGGGGAGGAAAGGGAGGAGGGCAGCGCTGTGCCCGCTGCACGGCGAGGAGGCGAAGTTCTTCTGCCTGGAGGACAAGGAGCTGGCGTGCGGCTCCTGCCGCAGCTCCGCGGGGCACCAGGGGCACAAGGTGCGGCCCGTGAGGGAGGCGGCGGCGGATTTCAGGGTGAGGAGAGAGACGGGAAAAGGGGGAGAGGGGGGAGGACCGGGGGGGTTGGGATCCGGCGGCGCCCGAGATTTG